GGGCTGTGCGGGGATGGGATCCGCGACCGCAACTTCTCCGCTCGCCGGCGGCGATGCTGCTGCCCTGCGAAAGAGCGGCTCTGCCTGTTCCTGCAGACAGCGGCTCCGTCAGGGTAGGGAGAGCGGTTGGTGTTTGGGTAGCCTTGGGGCTATGTCTGTCGGTAACCTTACACGGGTAAGTGTAAGAGCATGCTGAAATCCTGAAGTTATGCTAAAATTCAGCTTTTACCGCCAGACTGTAAAAATCGGATCTCTCCCGTGCACTGCATTTGTTCCTGTAACAAGGCTCAGCAGAAACGTCATTAGATTCCTGTGGGTTTCGAGGGAGAGTAACTTACCATTCTGAATTGTTTTGCTCCTTCCACTCCATCGGGTAGAGAGCTCCCGATACTGTATTGCTGGGATGTCCTTCGTCCTTACTTGCATCCAGAGGCTCTGAGAGACTCCCAGCCCGTATAAATCTTGTACTCTTGAAAGCATAATTGAGGCCAGTGCCTTGGCATTTTAAATGTTTGGGGTTTTTTGGTTTTCTTTTCCAGAGGATTAAAATGGGGTTTTGAAGTAAGATAGAGAGCTTTTTGCTGTAAATCCTATGCAAAAGAAACGCAAACTCGGTTTCAAAATTGTAAAAGAGAGGTAGGTACCTTTTCTAGAACTGACAGCAAAACACCCCACAAAGTACTCTAAATGCCGTTTGCTGGGCTTAAATTGCAATATTAGTATAAAGGGAGAATCTAAAGTTATTTTTACTGAAATAAGAAAGTGCTCGCCTGCGCTTTGAATTAAACTGCTCAGAAATCCACTGTGTAATCTACAGTTTCACCCTAATACTGTTTTCAGTAAGCAGGACAAATCTATTTTCTGGCAAAGGGTTGAACAGATGGCAATCCATTAGCAAACCTGGCTTTTCAAAGGACAGTGTTACTATTTCAGAATGACACATTCCTTTTTATTACTAAAACTATGCTTTAAAAATTCCACAATACACAAAAATGCAAATTAGTCCTAATTTAAATACAAGCATCTGTTGTCTTGGTCCAGGATACGCCTAACTATTTGGCAGGGTTGCCAGCATTACAGTCTTCCTGGTCATCAGCCAGGGCTGATATTAGTGTGAGTGAGATAAAACATCACAGAATGATAGGATGTGATGTGCAAAATGAAAATACATTCAAGAGGAAGTAGATTTAAATGCCACACCTGGTCTGCAGAAGGCCCTTTCATCAGAGGGATACACTTCATTGCCTGTAACATGTTGCTGCTACAGCAGCTGAATAGGGTGGGCTGAAGGAACTCGGGAAGCAACTAGACCATACCTAGTGCTTCCAGATATTGCCTCTGTAGTCTGTCTTTCACAGCCATGGGAGAAGGAAAGTTCTACATGGTGAGATTTTCCAGATTCCTATTGCTTTTGTTAAAGCAGCCATGGCTATGTTTACCATCACTATGCTTTGCACAGCTCTGCTGTGATCTAGGCACAGCCCTGAAAAGTCTGGTACACTCACATCCATTTTGCCATGTCTCACACAGAGCTCAGCATAGCAAGAAAACAGTGAGAGTTTCAGGAAAGGTGGTATTGTTAGCCTTGCGTTGCTGGGGGAATTGCTGCTTGATCTCTGTCCAGGAAGAGTTCTGCATTTCCCCTTGCTAAGTGTAGCTGAAGTGTAAAAGCATCATATAGATACATATATCAGAAATCTGGATTACACTCTGACATGGTCTCTTCCTGGTCAAAAGATATTCACTGTATTCTAGTACGTAGATGGGAACTTTCTTAAAGCCTGATGTAAATGGCATTCAAAACCTGTATGGTAGAATGAATTACCTTTTAAAGGTGAAGGGTATGTTGTGTGTGAATGATTGAAAGCCAATTACATTCTGGAAGATTACTTCAGTCCAAAGCACAGGAATTAATTTCCTTAATTCCTATCATCATGTGCCTTTCTACCTGCACAAATGTGGGCAAGTTCCATTAGGGCTCTTTAATATGTAGAACAAGTTCACAAAATAATGGAAATTTTAATCACTTACAATTTAATCTCAAAGGCTTTTGCCTGACCTTTACATGGTACTCTGCTGGGAGAAGGGGAAGAAATCAGCAACTATTTCAGGGAGGAAGTGTAAAGCAGTGTAGCTACGTGTGGCACCACTTAGGGGAGGGTGGCCCCAGCATTTCGGAGCTTTGGGAGAGGAAAGTGCCTGTCTGCTGGATATCTTCCAACAGCCAAGTAAGTGTTGTCAGTAACAAAGTTCCTAACTTTATTGCAATGTCTTACATCCGGAATTTATACCACCGCCATCAGTAATCTCTGGTGTTCATCAGAACTAACTGGGGGAATTTTTTAGGCTGATTCAGAGCTTAAACCCTGAAGGTATAGGGAGCTATGCCTTATTCCAAGTTGAGACAGAAAGTTACAGTGCTGTCTTTAGTAAAATGGCAAATAAAAAAAGCAAGGTCGAGATTTTTTTATTAATTTTTTTTCATTTTATGTTCAAGGTTATAGATTTAAAGTACATTCCCAGGTTAATTTACCTCCATTAAAAAAACCAAAGTGGTCACTCCGATCTGAAAGAGAACTGTTTAAAAACACCTATACAGTTATTTTTCACTTCTTCCATAGGTATGTGTTTAGTTGACTCTGCTTACAGACAGCGCTGGTTGCAGTTAGTTGGCATTTTCCAACAGTATTTATTTGTATTGGCATACCATTCATCACACCTTGCATCTCATCCTTCTCTGTATGGGGAGGGCAGAGCTGCCTTTGCCTCTCCTCTCAATGTCCTTTGTCTTCCACAGAGGCGTTGACTCACCTTACCCCATGACCAGCAGTTGCTGCCTTCCCCTTTTTATTTCCCCAGGTGTCCCTTGTATGCTGTCAAAGCCCTTGTGCAGTTAACTACATCACTCTGTGCATTACCCATAATCTTTATCCATTTTCACTGTTCAGCATCTCAGTTTCCTCCTCTAATCCTCTGTTCTTCTGCTGCCCTGTGACTGTCGGCACCTCAGCAGCTTAATGTTGTCTCAAATGCGGCATACACATCTAGTGGCAATGTTCTGCTTTTCCCCAAGTGCAGCATCATCTCCCCCATGTCCTCATGGTTATCTGAGGACCCCCTGTGAGTTCCTACGTGCTGCAGGTACATGTTATGAGCAATAATAAATTAATGGGAGCCTGTTGTGGGTGGGATCACTTAAAGAGTGTGTTAGCAGAGTCTGATGGAAGCATTTTCTGCAAGTACCATTATGATCCCAGAAATATATTAGGAGGGAATAGATTTCTCTGCATCCCTTGGCACAGATTTTACGAGTGGTTGTACAGAGGCCTGCAAATTGAAGGAGATGTCTTTTTAGCCATGCATTATAAATGTTCCTCTCTATCTGAACTTTTTTTGTTTGGCTAAACATCTGGCAAATTTTTCATAAACCTTGTCATACTTTGAATTTTACTTGTATTCTTCCTTTCAAGATGAAGATCTGTTTTGAAAGAAAACCAACCATGTGTTTTCTCAGATTGCTGCAAAATCTCAGTCCTGGTTCCTCTGCATAGGATCATGGATGTGGCAGCTTTAAAAGGGAATTTCTCAAATGTTCTTGTTTTTGAAGATATACAATTAGCCTGTGCAAAAACCATCTCATGATTAAGAACAAGGGAATATCTTTTTATGTGAAGAGGGACTTTAAACTGCCTTTTGTTAATAATCCATGCCCAACTATGGTTCTCCCTATATAGTTACTATTCATGTCACTGATGGTTTCACTTCTTCGTGTGACTGGGGATAAAAGAAGAAATATGAAGAGACTGAATATGCAGTGCTGATATTTTAATCCCTGTGAAGTTTCATAACAAGGTCATAGCTATTGGCTATTGACAACCAAATTTCTCTTGCTTTCAAATACATCCTTGGAAACTGGAAGGGCTTCTTGCTGTTTGGCTGTAATGTGTAACTGAGTTCTGTTGGTTTTTATGAATTCAAGCAAATACTCTTCCAGTGGAGTGGATGTCCCAAAATTTCCTTTATAAGGCACCATGTTCAGTGACAATAAATAAGAATATGAATGGGCTTGGAATTGCCATCAGCTGTTAGAGATGTTAAACAAACTCTGTCAGATGTGGTACCAGATGGCGCCTGACCATTAATATACATGGGTACTTGCTAGAGTACTCCCCCTTCCTTCCTCCTCATCTCTTCTTGTCATTTTTCTTCTTATTACATCCTCATAGCCTACATAAATGGGGATTTTTTTCCCCATCTGTGTGTGTGTGTATATATATATATATATATAAACACAACAGAAATTGTATTGAGCATAAGTTGCGGTAGACTGTGCATATATTATTATAATGTATTACTGTCTTGGAAAAAAAATAAAACTTACTCATCAGGAAGACAGAATCAGATTCATAAGGTGTGAAATACAGTTCTTGACAGGGAAGCAGCATAAGGCCAGGTCTCTCTCACACAGGGTGAAGCCCCGTGGAGCAGTGCTAAGTGATGTGCTGCTCCCTGCCTGGCTGTCATGGGGATATCTTCTCTGGCTCTTCAGCCCTGCACACTAAAATTGAAAAATACTTCTGCAAGTGCCTCACACTTTAAGTCTAACATTTCTCCACTTGATATGCAAACTGAGGATATATAAATAACCAAATTCATTCTTCCACCAAAATAAAAAGTCCTATTGTTTGTAGGGACAGAAAAAAAAAAGTGACAGTTCTAGTCACAGACTGAAATATTTGGGGTTTATTACATCGTTGTATCAACATTTATATAATTTTTTAAAATCATTTTTATGAAGCGATGGATTAAGGTTAAGTGGATTGAGACGGTGGTTTGTGGGTGATGATGGAGATGTTTTATGAGGTTCTATGCAGTGGAACTGTTGGTTAGTTTAGTGTGTAGTTCAGCTGTGCCACCTAGAATTGTGGAGCTGGAGTAGGAGCAAGTACCTACCTACATGTCCTCTCTGGTGTTCATGAGTGGTAAAAATACGTGGTTTTAAAAGTTAGATGCACATGTCTAGCTTAAATGTCTCTGGCAGTGGAGTCCTGACCTGAAGAGGTGCTGGGGCACATGGGAGCTCTGTGCCAGGTGGGATACGTCTCAGGCAACTGGTTCTGTCCTATTGTCCGAGTTGGACTTCTCAGATGATGATACCAAACAGAAAGTTTTTTG